GCCCGCGGCTGCCGGGACGGCGGCGGCCGCCACTGGCCGCCTGGCCGAAGGGCCGACTGGGCCAGGTGCACCGGCCGCCAGTTGAGCGGCGAATCGATGCGGCACCGGTCGATACACCAAGCCGTCCGACTCTCGACAGCCAGGCTTGCACGCCTCGGAGTCCTCGCAGCCGGCCAGCGAGCTGGCGTGCAGGCCGTTGGTGGCGGCCGTGGTGGCGGCCCGCAGGCCGGCGGAGGCCAGGCTCATCTGCGGTCCGAAGAGGTGCTGTTCAAATCGGACGGCATAGTCGCAATTCGGCATCTCTCGTCCCAGCTGCGGCTGGCTGCGCGTCGCGGCAACAGGACAAGTGCTGGTATGGCGGTGGACGGACTCAAACGGAACAGACGATCGGGAGGCGGTTGCTTGATGTGGACAGGATGGGGAAGCGTGGGATGGGCGGGCGAGACGAATTGGAGGGGTCAGACGGTTGGCGCGCTCGCGAGTCCGCGGAGCCCAGCAGCGAGGGCGGCTTCGAGAGCTCGCCGGCAGTGGGTCAGCAGCAACACCAGCAATGGCGGCGACAGCATCAGCAGCGGCGGCAGCGGCGGCGGCGCGTGGACTCTGGAGCACCGGGGCCGGCCATGCGCTTGAGCGGCGACGACGAAGAAGACTAACGGACCTCTGGGAAGAACCAGGCAAGCGTTGTATAATCCTTGACGAGGAGCCACGCTATCGACCAGAGCACTGGCAAACATGTGTGTAAGCATGCAGAGCCGAAAAGGATGTGCACATTAATGTGTCTGCTTATGTCACCAGAAAAACTGATCGCTGCTCACAAAAGTGCATTGATGAACCAACTTAACACATGCTGCTGTCAGGTCAGGCGAAGCCTGATTGGCTGAGGTTGTGCAATGTGCCGGAAAATACATAAATGAACATTGTTTGGCAGGAGAAAGTGCATATACACACTTGCGCGCGGTCTGCAAACAGCTACATAATCGAGGCGCACCAACGAGACCACTAGCCGCCCACGCCTTTCGCACGCCTCCTGCCCGCCTTGGCCTCGCTCCCTCGACTGGAAGGGCAGAATCGTGCGCACGTGAGTGCGCACGCATTGCCGCCTCGCCTGTCCGTGCATTCTCGACTCGGCCCCCACCGCTTGCCTGTCCGCCTGTCCGCTCGCGCGCCTGCCTGTCTGCCTGTCCACCCGCTCGCCGGCCTGTCTGTACGCCCGCTCGTCTGCCTGCCTCTCCGCCCGCTCGCCTGCT